TTGACGCGCCGATGGAGCGTCCGGGCTAAGTGCCACCTCCATAAGGAGTTGCCGAAGCCGAAAGTCCCGCTCCTTCTTGGTCCTCGGTCTGAAGGCCTTACAGATCTTGCACTTATCTGTCTGATGGGACTCCCCCAGGCACTTCAGACACGAGTCATGCGGGTCACTTGTTGGCATAGGCTTAGCGCAGGACGCGCACTGTTTGAAGCCGGGAGCCTTGGGCATGAGCCCGGCCACACGCCGGGGGAAAAAGGGGGGAGACAACCCCCTTAATCCCCTTTAACTATACAACAACTATTAACAAAGTGAATTAAACAACTATCTAACTATATACAACTAGAACTATACTATAACTATCAATAAACGGAATAAGCTAGGGAGAGTGGAGAACAGCTACGCCGCGCTCCACAGTTCCAACGACCGTCAGGGGCGGTAAGAAGGAACTGAGGGGACGCCGGGTCGGCTGGGGTATATAGTCAGCGCCATGAAGGCGCCACTCTAGGGGGCTCCACAGCCGACCCGCCGGTGTTGCTAGGGTAGAAAATTCTCCGACGATCGTGCACGCGGCGCGCGCACACCTAATTGGAATCGATATGAGCAAGCACTCGAAGAAGAACTAATACTTGGGTAGCTTTGAAAAAATACAACTAAAAAACAAACCAACTTTATTAAAAGGTTTAGTTGAAAATTGAATGGTTGTGGTAGCTATTGCGGAAGAGAACTGAGTATGAATCAAAGGGTGCTGCAAAAATCAAGATATGTACTGACTCGTTCTGTAGAGATTACAGTTGCCAAAAGAATCTGTAGTACAGTGTGGAGCTTTTAATATATTATGGAGATTATACTCAAGGATAAAAAAGTGTAACTTTAGAAACATCAAAGGAAGACTGATCTCCCTCGGAGAGTCCTATGAAGATTTCAACATAGAGAGTATGGAATATTTATATAATTTTATATAACAATATTTTTCTTATCTTGAACTTGTCCTGTAGCCCTAAATACTGCACTACATTGTTTCAAAGTAAAATATTAGGCTTTTTTGGTAAAATTGTGAACGTGAAAACAAGGACATTCTCACAAGAACTGTTGCTAATGCACCTGTGAGTATGATTGCATAAACTTACCAAAAACCAAGTGCATTAAAGTTCAGAATTTAAATACCCAAAGTTGGAAACTCTCAGTTAAGGTTTCAGCTCAGACCTTAAACTCTGCCACTCCACCACCACCACTACCTGTCTGTCCTCTGGAAATAGACTAGAGAGCCCATGTCCCCTCATGTTCCCAACATTAGCCTGACACTGCTGTCCTCCCTCCACAGACTGGTTGGAGGCTGCTGTTCTGACTTTAGCTCTACCTCCACCCACTTTACCCATGTGTTACATGATAGATCAACGGACTGGAATCAGGGGAGGATTTGGATTATTTTAGGAGGATTAATCTATTATAATCTATTATCCACCAGCTGTCATCAATACTGTTGAGCACAAGGTCATGCAAATTAGGACGCTGGCTGGGACAGTTGGTGGCATCCGAGTGGTTCTGCTCTTTTCAAACAGATCCAGTGAGGCGGTGCATTATTGAACAGGAAGGAATAGCTGAACCACTGAAGTTGCACTACACGTGTCACTCTGCAGTGTGGACTGCACCAGCTGGGCCAGATGTAACCTAGGTCTATTGATTTGGATATCATATAGCGCCTGTCCCAGTGATATCCAAGTGTAGCATAAAAATCCAGAACAAAAGGGCTGTTTCTCTCATTCTTCTGGGGAAAGGAATGTAACTTGGTACATGCAGGACTGTTTAACACTTGGTAGTGCCAACACTTGTACAAAGCCAAGGACAGCAAGATACAAAGGAACTGATTCTCTAGTGGCTTACACTAGTTTTTCATGGGTGTAACTCCACTGACTTTAGGGGAATTACTTTTGATTAACACTGGAGTGAGAGAAAAGAACCGGGCCCTGCAGGTTCCCACGAGTTGTCCCAAAAGCCCAGCACTGCAGCAACCACTTGTTTTGCCTAGCACAGGCTGGCTGAGATGGGTGAGCTCAGGGAAAAGAGAGCAAAAATCAGGAGTAATCTCTGCAAGGAAGAACCATTTTCATGTCTCAGTCAGTAAGCAAAGACTGAAAAGAGTTAGGCCAGCAGCGATGATCAAGTAAAAACCCTGCCCTCCAAGGACCAAGAGTGGAATGATGGGAAGAGGCCTCTTAGATATTAGATTAGCAATAATCTAATATCATGGAAATAAAAGACACCAATTGCACTAACCATCCTAACTCAATCCCATGTTCCCTTTCCTGGTGCTTCCCTTCAGCTCCTAGCTTCCACTTCTTCCATACCTGTGCAGTCACTCATCACTTCCACTCCAGCACTCAGCCACCAATCCCAGCATGCTCCCACAGTGCCCCAACCCCTTGCCCTGTGGAGGGATGACAAAAGAGCTCACAGGCGCTCCCTCTCTCGAAGGATCCTCTCCATCTCCAGCTGTTGCTCCTCCTTCTCCCCTTGAGCCAAATCTTCCTTCAGTTGTAGCTCAGTGTTGCTTCGGCGCAATCGCCAGGCCTCCTGCTCAGACACCTCCAGTTGTTGCTGCAGCTCTTCCCTGGCCTTCTCCAAGTTCATACGGTCACTGCAAAGAGGCAGGGCCCAGTCAGCAGAATGAGGAGAATCTAGCATGAGCAGACCCCATCCGCACCAGTGAGGATGGAATGGGAGGGGAGGGGTTTGAAGTGCTTGCTGCATGTGAACCTCTTTTCCTCTCTGGCAGCTGAGGTGGAAGAAAAGGGGCTGGGGAGGCTATTGCTCTCACTCAGTGGGAAGCAGTGCTCAGCAGAGGGCCTCTCTACAACCTGGGGATGCAGGATGCACCTAGGGAACTTAATTTAGGGGTGGCAGAGGTTGGACTGGACACACACTATACTCGGGCAGCTCTCCAATTTCCTCAGGCAGCCTGGATATGGGGTGGTGGCTAGGAACATTAATTGCTAGTGACAGGGAAAGAGTAACCTGAGAAGCAGAGCCAGACTTACTATGGAACAGGAGCGTTCTTAGCCCCCAACACTCTGCTACTGAAGTCCCTATACGATGTGGAGGGAGGACATAGGGCTGACCTGCTGAGAGTTTCCACCAAGGACTGGAGGTGCTGCATCTCGCTGGTGAGTGTCTTGCAGTTCTCTTCCAGCTGCTGGAGCCTCTGCCTCAGCATCTTGCATTCCTCTTCCTGCTGCCTTTGCTGATGTTGCAGAGAATGGACAGAGTCTTGGCTGTCTGAAAGCTGCTCCCTTAGGGCCTGCCAGGGAAGAGGCAGAATGAGTGCATGAGCAGAATGGGGCTGAGAAGATGGGTCCAGGCAGACCAGCTAGGAGGAGGTCAACAGTTAGGCCTGAGGGCAACAGCAGCTGAAGAGTGTAGGGAGATAGTTCAAACATGAGTCAGCTGGGAGAGTCAGGAGAGGAGCAGATCATCTGAGGGCAAAAGATGTGATCCAGTGTGGGAGGGTGCTCAGGTGGAAGGGGGAATTACAGAGAAAGTGGGGGCAGAGAAAAGGCAGTCTCAGTGTGGAGAGAAGGATGGCTGGAGGGCAGAAGTAAGTGGAGGGGGAAAGGCTGGATGAGACATAGACATTTGAGAGAGTGGGCTGGCAGTGAGGTTGGGGAAATTGCTGCCAGTGTAAAGAGAGTCCTGCACCAGATCCCTCTCACCTGTACTGCCTGGCACCTCCTTGACAATACTTCATGCACCAGAACAAGGGCCCTTTCCATGTCACTGGAACTCAGCAGGGAGGAGAGGTTGCTGGATTCAGGATGCTGGGAGCTCTCAACCCATGAAATGCTGACTGCGTTGTCAGTATCGTCTAGCACTGCCTGAAACCCCAGACCAAGCTGTTACTCCTTCCCTCCTACCACTCACTCTTATTTACCTATTTCTCCCTCCTCCTCCATGCCACCCTTCAGTCAGAGGTTACAGGCTGTCTGACTTAAGGCAATAGAGAAGATTGGTTCTGGTGGCCATGACCTCCTGCATTTCAGGTATGGGTGATTCCAGAATAATGCAGAACAGGAGAAAAACCATAGGGCAGGAATGGATGTTATGTTTGTACTCCCTCTATTCTAGGCCTTCTGGGGGCTTACTTTAACCAGTGCTCAGTTTCTTTTTGGCCCTCAGGCACCGTTTCTGCCTCCTTTATGGCTTCTTTATGCAGTCAAAGTGATATAAAAAGTTTTAATGTAACAGAATCAGGCCTCTAGTGACCAATAGCCATGAAAAGTAGTATTAAAACTCCCCAGAGGAGAAAGCAGCTGATGAATTCTGAAGAATATGATAATAGAAGAGCAACTGATCATAATTCCTCTGAAACAGTAGCATGAAAGGAGCAAGAATTGGCCAAAGAAGCTTCATGAGGGTCTATGCAAAGATCTGAGGTTAAAATTCCTGTCCTCAGAATGGAGAAAGGGAGGCAACCTAAGAGGAACAGTCCGTCAACTAAAGAATGAGTTAATGTTACCAGCACATGCAAAGGAAACATGGAGGATTTATACAGATGTGCAGGGAAAGAAGAATTACTCATCAGCACATCAGATTGACTGAAAAATACAAGTGAAAAGACATTTAAACTTAAATGGATTAAATGAACAAACAGACAGAACAATGATGACTCGCCTCTCACATCATGCATGTTGACCATGCAGCTAACACTAAGGTTACCCAGTTAAAGGTCACAATCAGGAAAGGAAGTCCAGGAGGCATGTGGGTAAGGAACCCCAAACAGACAGAACTTCTAAGATTTTGTCAAAGTGCTCTTGGGCAGACAGCCAGTGAGCTAGTAACAAAGAGCTCTGGAAGTACCAGAAAAAGAGTGGTGTGTTACAGAGTCCCTGTGAGCAGACCAGACCCAACTTCCCTGTGTCAGAGCAGGTGGGCCCAATGAAAAGGGGAAGGGCTACACCTGGGGCTATAAAGACCTGTTAGAGGGCAGGACAGAGAGGAGTGATTGGGGCAGGCTGTGCCTGGGGAGAGATTCCCCTAGAGGAGTGGAGTTAACTCCTGTGGTAGATCTCTGGAGCAAGGGCCAGGTTCCCAGGAAGGAGCCCTAGAGCTGGTGTTCCAGAAAGGGAGCAGAGTGGGCTGGGACTGGGAAGCTGCAAATAGCAGGATTGTCAGAGATCCCTGGGAGTGGGGTCATGAAGCCCTACCACAACAGGGTAAGCAAAGGGACTGTTTGTGTTTGTTTTATTTCCTTATGTTTGTACAATAAATCTTAAAGGAGACTGGGCATGGCAGTATATGCTTGGAAGTTGGGGAGAAGCCCTGCCATGTCACATGGTGTTAAACTTAAGAGCCAGAAGTAGTCAAGCTGCTGACAGAGTGACAGGAGCGGCCATGGTAAAAGGGAACACAGTGGGGTTGGGTAGGGTTACCATACGTCCTCTTTTTCCCGGACATGTCCGGCTTTTCGGCAGTCAAACCCCCGTCCGGGGGGAATTGCCAAAAAGCCGAACATGTCCGGGAAAATGGCGGCTCTGCTCCTCCCCGACTCTTCGGCTCTGTTTAAGAGCCGGGCTGCCCGAGCGCTACCGGCTTCGGGCAGCCCCCGTGCCTCCGGACCCTGCA